CAGAGATATTTAACTTAAATCGAGGTATTAAACAGGGATGTCCATTATCTGCTCTTTTATTTATATTAGCTGCTGAAATTATGGCCATTGAAATAAGAAACTCAAACAGTATAGAAGGGATAAAAATCGAAAATAATAATAAACAAATTAAAATAGCACAGCTTGCTGATGACACTACTCTTTTTCTGAAATCTGAACAAGACATTCTGAATGCAATAAATCTGGTAGAGCGCTTTGGCAAATACTCGGGGTTACAACTCAATAGCAAAAAAACTGAAGCAATGTGGATAGGAAGAAGTAAATCACGAACTGATAAAGTAGGAAATATAACATGGCCGAATAAACCAATTAAAGCACTAGGAGTCTATTTTGGCATACAATACGAAGAGTGTTCTAAACTCAATTGGCAGTCAAAACTAACTGAATGTCAAAGTCTAATAAAAAACTGGTTAAAACGTAAGTTAACGATGTATGGAAAAGTTCAAATTATAAAATCGTTATTGATACCAAAATTTACTTATTTGTTTCATTCTTTAGTTGTGCCAGAAAGTATCGTGAAAGAAATCAATACAATGATATTCAAATTTTTATGGGACAATAAACAAGAAAAAGTAAAACGTGCAACTTTAATAGGCAATAAATTACAAGGAGGAATAGATATGCTAGACTTAGACTCATATATAACTTCTTTAAAACTTAAATGGGTAAAAGCTTTAACTGATGAATCAGAAGCAAACTGGAAATTAATTCCGAAACGCCTACTGAAAGATTTTGGTGACAATTTTTTAATATTTTATTGTAATACAGACACTATTAAAAGTCTCAATTGTAGTAATGTGACTGAATTTTATCAAGAACTTATTAAAATATGGATAAAAACTCGCGATTTACATAAGGAAAATCAAAAATTTGACATTTGAACAAATAAGAAAACAAATAATCTGGGGCAATAGATTTATTAAAATTAAAAACCAATGTTTGTTTTTTAAAACATGGATTAAATCGAATATATATTTTTTAAATGATTTACTTAATGATCAGGGTGAAGTAGATCAAAATGTTATCTTAAATAAGCTAGTAGATAAACGCAACTGCGTCGTTGAATTAAACTTGCTCTTTAAAGCTTTACCTCTAGCCTGGAAACAAACTATGAAAACGTTTCACTCTTCGCAAACAAAAATAAAACAGAAAAACGTCTTAAGATAAATAACAAACCTTTTGAATTGATGGATTCAAAAACAATATATCAAATATTAGTAAACAAAGTATTCATTAAACCCGCTACACATTCGTATTGGTCAAATAAATATGAGACAAAACTAAACTGGAATGATATATATATAAATTCATTAAAATAATTCCTGACGATCGATATAAACAATTTAAATTTAGAGTAATTAACTTGATATTTTCAAGCAAAGAAACGCGCTATAAATTGAAATTGGTTATATCTCTACTATGTAATAAATGTTATGAAATAGAAGATTATCAAAACCTTTTTATCGATTGTATGGCAGTAAATGTATTTTGGCAGAAAATTTTATATATATTTCAAGAGTGCGGAATTCAAAGAAAATATACGTAGACTAGACATCCTTATTTTCGGTTATAAAATATCTCAAGAAGAATACTTTTACATAAATGTTTTATACTCACCATTGTAGGTTTTTAGTATTTATAAAGCTTACTTTTGTAGTAATAATTGGTCAAATGAATTTAACATTTTTAAAACTGTTTAAAACAGAATTTGAAATAATTTATCAATACTTTAAATACAAGAAGACAAAAGTTAATTTTTTTGACAAAATACTACAAATTTTAAAAGATATATACTAACCTCTAGATAGTATGTTTATGTACGTTGTAACTCTAATACATATGAAAATCTCAAATTGAATTTGTTAAATTATGTCATTGTATATATGTATAATTATGTATAATATTTGTGAATAAAAAAAAAAAAAAGTCAGGAGCTCAAAATTTTTGACTGACACTTTGAAAATGCCAACAAGATTGATGGAATTTTATGCTAGAAAATGTCTTGGTGACTGAAGTGCTATTTAAAGTATTTTAGAACCATATGTATTATTTACGCCATTTACCTTTAACCGGAATGAAATGATTTGCCAAATATAAATGGATTTAACTCATTACAGGACTTAACCAGTACCTTTAGGCGCATTACAATTTTTTTTTCTCGCCGATTTTTATATTTTTCATCCATTAATATATATATATATCGGTTTGAAAAGATGAATTAGAACTTCTAAAGTTCATTCCGTTTGGTAAAAAGGCAAGATTTTAGCATTTTATCATTCAAGTGCCTTGTCCGGTATATACCGGAATACGGTATTTAGTGTGGTGCTCCAATCCTTTTACTAGTCTCACTCACGGAAACTTGAGGTGTTGAGCTCAAAACGCCTTTAAAATCCAAATGAAATTTATATTTGTCAATCCCAGCACATGTACTTATTATATATATCCAAAAGAACTTAATATAAGCCGTTTTGAAAAGAAAAAAAAACATATTTCAACGTCTATAGTAATACACAAGATAAAAATGTTCGCCAGAAAAAATCCGCACACCTACCGTCAAACACCATGTACATTTTGTATTTTATTCCATTTCCAATATCTTAACATGATCCTTTTGTCCATCGAGACTGAACATATTATTCTCCACAATGATGGTCAATTCTAAACTTCAACATCAACAAAAAACAACGCAGCAGGCGAAATAAACATCAAGGTTATCGTCATTGTACTACATTTCGACAAAGTAAAAATTGGCTCCCCAGCTTTGCCGTATTCACATGCGCCGCGCTCTGAATATGGGAACCAATCTACTACCGAATGGCTGCGACTATAGCCAGATTGGTTCTCCTCTCTTAAGCGCGGCGCATTCGAAAACAGCAAAGCTGGGAGCCAAATGCGTATTTGTCGAAAGATTTTGTAAATGGTGTAAAAGGGCGAAAAAAATTGATGTTTATTTCGCCTGTTGCGTTCAAGTGTCTGTGATCCCACTCAATATAAATTTTGCTGTTGTTTTTTTCTGTCTAAATATCATATTTTGTGGACCTGTAGATTGATATTGAATAAGAGCCGGTTGAACCGGGTGATGCTCCCCGAAAAGGTTTTGGACACAGGAAGGTATACCTCTTGTTGCGTCAGAGTTATGTCACAGACAAAGTTCAAAGTGTAAAAACAACCCAAATATTGTGCACGACACATTGTCTCAATATGGTGATCATTTTTGTGAAATAGTTGTAAAATCAGACTTCAAATAACGAATGACATGAGTTTGCTGCAAGGTCATGCTGTGACCTTGACCTTCAAGGTAGCGACCCAAATGTTGCATGCGACATGTTGATTCAATATGGTGATCATCTCTGTGAAATAGTTGTTAAATCCGACTTCAAGTAACGAAGTTATGGGCCGGACACGATTTTGCTGCAAGGTCATGCTGTGACCTTTACCTTCAAGGTGACCAATATTTTAGGCATGACACGTCGTCTCAATATGGTTATCATTTCTGTGAAATAGTTGTAAAATCCGACTTCAAATAATGAAGTTATGTGCCCGACACAATTTTGCTGCAAGGTCATGCTGTGACCTTGACCTTCAAGTTAGCGAGCCAAATGTTGCGCGCGACACGCCATTTTAATATGGTGATCATTTCTGTGAAATAGTTTAAAAATCTGACTTCAAATAAGGAAGTTATGGGCCGGACACAATTTTGCTGCAAGGTCATGCTGTGACCTTGACCTTCAAGGTAGTGACCCAAATGCTGTGCGTGACACGTCATCTTAATATGATGATCATTTCTGTAAAATACTTTTTAAATCCGACTTCAAATAGCGAAGTTATGGGCCGGACACGATTTTGCTGCAAGGTCATGCTGTGACCTTGACCTTCAAGGAAGCGACCCACATGTTGCTCGCGACACATCGTCTCAATATGGTGATCATTTCTGTGAAATATTTTTAAAATCCGACTTCAAATAATGAAGTTATGGACCGGACACGATTTTGCTGCAAGGTCATGCTGTGACCTTGACCTTCAAGGTAGCGACCCAAATGTTGCGCGCGACACGTTGTCTCAATATGGTGATCATTTCTGTGAAAAAGTTTTAAAATCCGACTTCAAATAACAAAGTAATGGGCCGGACACGATTTTGCTGCAAGGTCATGCTGTGACCTTGACCTTCAAGGTAGCGACCCAAATGTTGCGCGCGACACGTCGTCTCAATATGGTGATCATTTCTGTGAAATAGTTTTAAAATCCGACTTCAAATAATGAAGTTATGGACCGGACACGATTTTGCTGCAAGGTCATGCTGTGACCTTGACCTTCAAGGTAGCGACCCAAATGTTGCGCGCGACACGTCGTCTCAATATGGTGATCATTTCTGTGAAATAGTTTTAAAATCCGACTTCAAATAACAAAGTTATGGGCCGGACACGAATTCGGGACGTACGTACGGACGGACGGACGGACTGACGGACGGACGGACAACCCGACGACTATATGCTCTCCCGAAATTTTTCGGGGAGCATAATAATTCAAGAGGGATTCTCAAGTTTCATCATTTATTGTTCTTTTTTATTATTTTACAACCGAGGTCAAACACCCCTAAAAACAAAACTTATTTTACCCTGGCTACTTCGATTGAACAACTATAAGTATACTCTCCTGAACATTATGTGATAACAAAAATCTTATATTGATTTGCATATTGTATAATAAAATATCTACACTTCCCAGAAAAACTTTAGACTTTGATACAGACTTGTCTTATGCATTTTATGATACAAGTCTTAATAAACTGAAAACTGAGATCCTTCACATACTAGGGATTTAAGTTATAAAAAAAGGCTTTATATGCGGCTTATTTTAACATTTTCAAAATTACCTTTTCTGTTTTGGGTTTGAAGATTTTGGTAATATTTCTCTGTAATGAAACTGTAAGATTTATAACAGGTACGTTTTGTTTATTTCAGGGATCATTCAGTAAACTTCATGGAAAGCCACCAAGTCTAAATTTCATATTTACATCTGGACACCTTGTGACATTTCGGTTAACAAGAGGCGAGCTAGAGAGAAATTTTGATATCAGAATTGTAGTAACGCCTGTACCCTCTTCGTCCTGTGAGTATACACACACAAAAATGATTGTATAGAATTATAAACTGATAATATGTAACAAGTTCAGACTAAACTCTATGTTTATACTTAATTGTTATATCTATGCCCCAAAAATGTGTTAAAACTAAATTCCTGTTCATACTAAATAATGACATATACGCAAAATGATATTTCTTTGTACCATATGACATAACGTCCCGGACTTCCGGGATTGTCCCGGGAATTAGGTATCTATCCCGGAGGCGTCCCGAAGATGATTTATGTCTCGGTAAAAATAAAAATCTAAAACAATCAACTTTGCAGCCATGAATTTTATATTTTTATGTAATCATATTTTCAAGTTAATATTAACTATAATTATAGAACACTAATAACGGAACGATTTTCCCCATACAGTTTAGCAATATACAGTAAATGGGGACACAAATCCTTTGACGAGTAAATCTATGTACCGGGGGTAGCTTATACAATTACGGGTATTCTGCGCCTCGTCTGATCAAATAGGTTGAGTAACAGCAATGTTATTGATAAAAAACATACCCCTAACGATAACGAACTTGGCATAGTAAGAGTATTGTTGTGAAAAATGAGGAAATAAAATTCATTGGTCAACTTTATTGGTGTTGAAATAAGTCATATTAAAAATCAAGAAATTTATATAACAAATGAAATCGAGGTTAATTATCATTTTGAAAAAAAGTCAGAACACATGATCATGTATGTGTGTTCATTAACATCTGTTTAGTTTTCAGTTCACCTGATTTCATCCTTTGTCCGATTTGAATGCGATGCCAAACAAAAAAATTTATAAGTCAAATAATTTTACAAATCTTGAGAAGTTCAAAACATTTACTAGATGGGTAGTGAAATAACACACATGTTATCCGGTGTATCGAAACACATATAAATGCACGTCACACTATTTGTCATTTCACACATTGATGAGATTGGTATAATACAAACATCGCTAAAATTACGATTATTATAATTTTAAATTTTAGTCCCAGGGTGACATAGCTTTAAATCGCGTTTATTAAAGTCCTTGAGTATGAGAATAGAAATAAATTCGTGTTCACGACCTCTAATCAAGGAGTTACATTATTATGTGCTTTGAAAATAAAACTATCAAACCTTTGTATTTTTTAGGTTATTTATCTATATAATCTATTCTAAACTAATGGTTAATCTTTCTGACTTTCTGATTAATATCAAAAAAATATAATGCTCAAACGAACATTTATCGATATTGTAAGTTCCAAAAAGCATTATTTGTAAAGATATTACCGAATTTAGAGTTCATGTAAATTAAGGGAGGTAATTAGAAATTTATTTTCTAAAGTCTAATTAAAATTGAAATGAATGCATATATTTTAATGATTACATATAATGTGGACAAATATTTGCATAGCCTTCGGTGTTTGAAAATTGTTTTAGAAGCATAATTATAAAGATATATGAAATTATTTTAGTTTCGAACAATACGCAGTTTATGGCATCTGTTACATCTATAGCAAATATTTATGATTTTACGTAAATTCGATTTACTCTGTTGCACATTCCTTTATAAATTTGAACGATTTTCACGTACTTGTACAGTATATAAGAGAGTATATGTGTAAAAGCGTCACTCGAGGTCTGTATCAGAATACGGAACAGTTCGAAAAATGACAGAAGAAAGCATACATATTCCCGTCCCACCCACTCTTTTTATGTTCAGTTTTATTTTTACAGTCTTTTCTTAGTTTCAGATATTTTCGGTTGATTTCATCATGACTCCGCCGAAATTCGAGAAAGCCCTTATTCCAGCAGATGTTTTTTGCAATAGACTAGAGAAATTTTTGTTCTTGAAATGTAATAATTCTGTCAAATACAACGACCTAAACCTATAATGTTTGTTGTTGTTGTTGTCGTTGTTTAGAAGTATTTAAGAAAAGAAAATAATTGATTTACTCACGGTTAAGTGAGTAAATAAAGTTTCACTTAAGTGTGGTAACAATCTTAATTATACACTTTACAATATTTACTGACGTGTTCAGTATTCATTAACATGTCCATTATTCACGTACATGTGTTTATTATGCATTAACGTGTCCATAACTCACGTGTGTGTTCACTATAATTCATTTATGTGTTCATATTCATGTCCGTGTTCAACATTCCTTCCCTGTATATTCTAGCCAGTTACGAATTTCAATTTTTCAAAAAAAAGAAGAGTTTATTAAAACACGCATAAAGACCTCATGTTGGCCATATTCTGAATTCAAACCATATAGGGACCAGCATAAAAGATACAAGAAATACAAATTCCAAGCCGATCCGACTTCAGACACTGAAAGGAAAATGTTGCAATTTTCAATGATAGTCTTGCTTTGTAGTAACAGATACAAAGTGTCTCAACGACTTACAACGACTACATAAGTGCAGCGGACAAGACTTCGATAGGTTTTGTCTTACCTTTAAAGGAACTCCACTGAGGTCCAAAAGCCTTAAAAATATAATTTGATTTTCTTACATAATTCAGCTGGGACACGTAAAACAAAGATATGCAAAAGAAAATTAAACAATATTTAAACTTAAAAAAAAATAAATTCTATTTTATGCTATTCTTAGCCCGATATGACTGAAAAGCTTTGCAACGCTTTTTAGTTTTGGATCATTTTCACAATAAAACGAAATGAGCAGCGGATGGTCTGAAGTTTTTCGCACAGGTTTTAAGTCTACACTAACATCAGATGGAACTTTCATGTCGAAATATTTGTTTCAATTCAAACCTCGGAGGAGTCCCTGTAAAGTAACTGAAGGAAGTGTTTTAACGTGCATACTTAAAAAAACAACACACAATATTGCAGTGGGCAAGATCTCGATAATATACTGTATGTGTAGAAATATTCGCGGGCTTCAAATTTTCGCGATCTTCGCGGTGACATTCGATCCGCGAATTCATGTTTAGCGCGAATATTTCTACACCAATAATTTCTTAATAGTCATATTTTCGCGCTTCTGTAGAACAATGTATATCAGTATGTGATATGCTTTCGCACTTTTTATTTAAATCTTTACTGAGTAATTGGGTTTTGTTTTCCAAGTTATTCATCATTTAAAATCGTTTATGTTTGTGTTTTTTAATTGTTTGTTCAGAAAAACCAAAACATGATCTGATCAGATATCAAGACTTTTATGACGCAAACTGTGAATAATTATGCACGTTAACGGGCATTCTTTTGTTTGCTGTAATCTTCCGCTAGACAATGTTTTTTTTTCTGTACAATAGAGTATCGTTTGACACCTGTTATTGAAAATAACTGTGAACTCCCACGATGATTACAGTAATTTGCCTTTTTTAACCTGAGTGGTCTACGCGAATTTATAATTTTCGGCAGTCACCTCCGCGAATTCAAAATAGCGCGAAAATTTGTATAGACCCCCAAAGTGGACCTTCCGCGAAAATTTGCTTCCGCGAATTTAAATACACATACAGTACTCGGTTCCAAACTAAAGTGTGCTTGTTGAATATTTAGAAAATTAGCAGACGTTTCTTTTGCAAATTTGGCATGGTTAGTCCTAAGAACATCGATCCAATATAAAACATATCCGTGCTGGCACGGAATTTTCGCTTTATACGGCAATACATAATATAGCCTGATTTGCACGTGCAGTCCGAAGCGAAGGTACATGTCACAGGAAATGTGTATAGACATAATCCTTACACCCACTTCATATGAATTGTGAAAATTGCTAATTTCAGAGTTGTCTTGCAACTTTCATTTTCGGACCTAGTCCATTCTCGAGACAAAATCATATCATAATGACACCGGAATTTAAAGTTTAAAGTCACGATTATAATGTATACATGTTCTGATCTTGATTTTGGTACCAAATATGTGGACATATAACATAATGGGCAATGGAAAAATCGCCGAAAACAAAGTGCACACTTTTTTTAGTCTAGTGTATATAATTTTTGTTTTAACTTAAATGTAACAGGTAAAAGTCTCTATTTAAGATCCCTCGGATGACTGTATGAACTGTACAAAATGTCGGGAGGAATATTTGGTAGATGGGGAACTATCGCCGGACTGTCCAGAAGGTTGCAAAAGTAACAAGATGGATAATGGTACTAATGATTTGAGCCGTATCACGACAAAACCAACATAATGGGTTTGTGACCAGCATGGATCCAGACCAGCCTGCGCATCCGCGCAGTCTGATCAGGATCCATGCTGTTCGCTATCAGTTTTTCGACTTGTAAAAGGGTTGATAAGCGAACAGCATGGATCCTGATCAGACTGCGCGGATGCGCAGGCTGGTCTGGATCCATGCTGGTCGCAAACCCATTATGTTGGTTTTGTCATGACGCGGCTCATTTATCTTTCATGTAAAATAATTATTCGTGGTACTGTGATGTGAATATGTTTGTTTTTGCTCGGAATAGTTATTATCCTCGTATTCATCATTATGGAGGCGTAATCCGAAACATTGAATTTCAAAATGATGCATTATTTTTCCAATCACGTGATGTTGTCATTTTTAGAGTAACTTCGCATCAATAGTAGTTCATTCATGCTTAATTCGGTCAGTGAATTTCAACTTTACTAATATATAAGAACTCCCGTTTAGAATATATCTGCGCCTTTTTAGGGTTTTGGTACAAGTCTCTCCAACCGACAGATTTTGCCCAACACTTTAATATGGTGGCTAATTTGGACCGCTTTTGTGCGTCGTGTTGGCGCTAGCGACAACAGGACAAAGCGCCAAATGGCGCGTTGTCGGACTTTCGTCTCCAACGATGTACGCCAAACGGCGCGTTGACGTGCGGCGTGTTGTCGCGATGTCACATTGTCGCTCGATTCAAATCGAAGGCTTGGCTTATAAGCCAAGCGACATCGCGTCGCACGACAAAGCGCCATTTTGCGTGCTTCGCTAGAGACAGGACGACAGCGCGCCGTTTGGCGCTTTATCGTATTGTCGCTAGCTAACGATATAGGTTGCGTTGTCGCTATCAACATCGCAACGCGAAATGTACCAAATCAGCCACCATACTTAAATTACAATCTTTTTTGTTTTGTTTTAAGTAATAAGGGTCAAGGTTTAAGGTGGAGACTAAAGAGTATAATAATACATATTTTTGACTGAAACAAATTATCTTTTCTTTTTTTTATTCAGATTTCATGAATCGTTGTGGCACGACGGTGCTATGTGCTAAAAAGGAGGGTGTTCAAAAATGTGCGTGTACCCACCAGGCATGTACCAGCGGTAGCAACATGCGGAAGTTACCAGTATACCTATTGCTGTCATTCTTGTTTGCAACTTTATCTCTAAAACATCTTGTATGACCAAATATTTTGAATCTTTGAAAAATTGTAAAACTGTGTATTATGTATACAAGGAATTGTGATACTGCAACCATTCCGAAAATATACATAAACTCTATTTTTATTACATTTTTTCGTTATGTATTTTGTGATAGTTTCTCCATTTGGATCATAAACCTTTTACCTCATTACCTCATATTGACGTGTTTCGACGGCTTTTCGACCCCCCCTTTGAGGCCTAGAACAGTGAAAAAATGTCCTATTTAAGCCCAAAAGACTGATTTTCGTTTGAGAAATGTTAATAAAAAAATGATCACTTATCGCCGTCCTTATCAAAAAGGTACATCAAGGGGTGCTAGAGGGTGGGTGATATGCAGTGATTTTTGGCAATTTTGAGAGGTCCCCCCGGTGTCATGGTAACAGGAAATTTAAGTTACAGAGGCTTTGGTCCAGTCCACTTTTTTGCCAAGTTTCATCAGTATTGACACATTTTTCATAGCAGTTTAACTTGTAACAGGAGACTATTCAATGAAAATGGCCATACATGTATTTCACAATATGCTCATGCACTCACTGTATTTGTATCCTTTGTATTTAAAACAGTATAGTGTTTGTTAAATGTATTGTTTGTTAGAGTGATTAAAAAATACTCAACAGCAAAAACCGGCTGCGTCTTGATATATTACCCAGGGCTGCGTTTCATAGAATCCAAAGTCCCAGGACTTACGACCAACTATAGAACTAGCTTAAGAATATTTCAATAAATATTTTGATCTTTAGTGTTAGTCTTTGACTATCATTCTACTGAAAAAAGTCCACAGTCTTTTTATGGTTATCTACATGGCTGTTAGTATTTATATAGGAGTCACAAGTTAAGACATTTTCTTTGCGACACAAAACCGTCTCAATTTTGGTCCAGACCAAGGAATAATTGAGTTATGTTTACATGTATATTTTGTTATCTAGAATAAAATGAAAACAAAGCAAAATTGTATTGTTTTTTTCGTCACTCATTTATTCATATACAACAATAAGTAAAGGACAACATGTTGTCCTCAATTATACAACGTTTTGTAATATAAAAATATCATCATCATTTCATTCATCAAGTAACCATGATTTCAGTGAAATGAACAAGAAAATATGTACAATATAGCCATATGTAAGTATTCAAACCGTACAGCCTAAAATTCTTCCTTGCTACCTAGGACATAATATATATATGATATATTATACATAATGTTCCTGTTGCTACCAATTTAATACTCGTAATTTGCCACTTTTCCACCCTTTGTCTCGTTAATTAAGCTATTGAGGCATTTTACTTACACCATTTGGTCATATGGAATGACACAAAATAATGTTCTGAAAAATCTTAACTCACTCTGAAAACAACAACAATTTACCTTACCATGTTTTCAAATGAAAAACTTTACATATTTCATTAACATGACATTAAATTTCAAACATGATTTTTAGATAATATGTATTATAATTTTAACAAATAGCTCGGCAAAAGTTTGTCACACCAGCTCATCACCGTCCTGTCACGTAGATCTACTACGGTGTTAATTCCTTGTAATTAAAGTCCGTATACATACAAATGTTTGGCAGTCTGCATGTAAATAGATGTTTGACAGTCACCTTTCATTTTTATTTTGTTTGGTTGATTTCATGAAAATTTAATTAAATTAAATAATGTAGCAAACGAGACTTTCAGCAGACGACATTTTAAGCAGACAACAATTTTCCCAAGCTGGTACCAGACCAGTATGTCATCGTTTTGCCAGGTACCAAGTCGTTTGACAGCAACCCTTTATAATTTTGTTGATTTTATGAATATTGAATAAAAATAAAGTTAAGTGAGGCGGACGACAATTTTCGCAGCTGGTACCAGACCAGTGCAGCAGCAGCATCTTCTTAGGTATCAAGCTGTTTGACTGTTACAGTACACTTTATTTTTCGTTAATTTCGTATATAAGTTAAGAAATCAAGCAGACGATCTTTTAGCAGACGGCAATTTTCTTAGCTTACTTGTACAAATACCTAAGCGTATTTTTAGATACCAAGCAGTTGGAAAGTCATGCACACTTTATTTTCTTGTTAAATTCGTGAAAATTGGCATTTTTTAGCAGACGACAATTTTTCCCAGAATGCTAAAGGGTTAAGTGAATATCAGGTCACATGATTCAATATCAATGATATATAAATTACTGGTAGTCAATGACTCAACATACATAGTATGCCTACAATACCAGCCTTTCCTCTAGCATTGTCCTTATTGTTTCATACAACCTAGCCTACAATACCTTGAGCATTGTCCTTCTTATTGTTTCAACCTAATTTAGGACTAGAAAACAACTAGAAAGTCAATACTGATAATTAATTTTGGCTCAAAAGTTCTGTGGTGGATACTGGTTAAAACTAGGGGTCATTTGTGGCTGTTGCTGGGCGGGTACTTGTCTTTGTAGTTGGGCTAGTATAGCTGCAGTCTGTTGTTGCTGATTGGATTGCTGCATCTGTTGTTTTTGCTGCTGCATCTGTAACATCTGTTGTTGTCTGTATTGCTGCATGCGTTGTTGTTGCTGCTGTTGCTGCTGTGGTGTTGGCATACGCTGCATGTAGGCGCCTGCCCCACCCGCGGGACCGACGGTCGGGGACTGGCCCATCTGGTTGTAGGTACCCATACCGCTCATTGTGGACGGTGGGTTCATTCCACCTGACTGCATGGGGATTCTGTAAAAATAAATTATTTTAAATATACATAATAAGACTTACATGTAGTAAAAGAAAATTGTGCTGATAATTGCTACAGGGTCAACACCTATTCTGGCAACGCAATAACTGGATAAAATCAAAACTAAAGAAGTCAATCCTATCAACATTCAATTCAACAAATCAGTTACGGCAAGCTCTGGCCCATTTTCTCTCCTTCATCACTGAGGGTTTGAATCCTGCCAGGGACTCTGAATTCAATCATGTGAGCAAAGCTATACAACTTTACATATGGTCAGTTGTTCAACAAAGGTGCCAGCTAGTTATGAAGCAGCTGAGGTCTAGCAAAGCTGGATGGATGGACGCCACTTTATGTTTGCCAATTGTTTGTTTGATTGGGATTTACATCACACTGACACATTATAGGTCATATGGTGACGTTCCAGCTTTTCTGGTGGAGGAAGACCTCAGGTGCCCTTCCCTGGATCATTTCAGGCACTAATGGGCACCAGAGTAGAACCACCGCATTCTGTAAGCTAGCTGGATAGCTTCCTCAAATGAAAGAGTCCAAAGTCCCTGCCGGGACTCGAACCGGGACTCGAACCCACGGCGGTGAGGGACAAGTGGTTTAAAGTCAATGAACTTAAGCCACTTTACGTTGACAAGTGTTTAAGTGCTTTAAAAATCCTGAAATAAAATAAGAATACTCTGATACCTTGATGTGCCAGAGTATGGCACTTGAGTAGGCTGGCTTTGTGGTGTGATATAATTAGTCTGCTGAGGTAATGATGACATCATCGAGGGATTCTGGGTACTCTGATACGATTGGTTGAAATTCTGTGACATCATACCGGTAGACATGGGTTCCATTGGTGGTTGAGACGGCATGGTGCCATAGTTAGACTGGTATGTTGATTGGTTGATAGGACCTGCAGTGAATAATGTTTATATTATAAATACACGAAGGAAAACAATATAAACGGCCCATGAAGCATAAGTGTTAATCAAGCTGGACGGATAAGAAAGTCAGAATTTCTTTATTTTTGATATAACTTTATACAAATATTTTGATATAATTCTATACATATGAGAAGATTTTGTTTATTTTACGATGAACTTATACAGTAAAGGTCACATGGCGCCAAAACGGGAACGATTTTGGAAACCTCCGTTGTTACAAACTTTAGGTCAAAACCACCTGACCTGCTGGAGCTAAGAGATGCATAGACTCCAGTTATATTTGAACCCATTTAGTCTCCTCTTCAGATCATGCAAGTATAAATGGTGGCTGCAATTCTTATGCCTCAACCATTAAATGCAACTCCTCAGCCACAGATTTTGAAAATGTGGAAAGGTATTAACAATGCAGAATAGCAAGGTGACAAAAATTGGATAATGGCCTAAAATACCATTACATTAAAACGCCCTAAATTCTGTTACCATATATACATGAACATGTATTAACATAAGTACTGCATAATTCTCAATTTTATTCTCAATTTATAAGGCTTCCTAATAATCTAACATACATGAAAGTTACCTATGTACATTGTAGCAAATACACATTCTATGTAAACAAGTATTCCTAATAATCACATTTTAAAAGGTGACATATTAAAATATCTTCCATGAATTACATACACTTATGTACCTGTAGTTAACTTAAAGACATAAATTAATTCAGCAAAAGTGACAGAAATGTCAGCCTTATCATAATGGTATCATAATGGTGCCCGCCTCAAAATTAACTTGTACGCCTTAAATCTGGAATTAAAATTCACGCATAGGTCACATTCTTACACTCTCTGATCTTCAATATGCGTATAATCTGAAAATGATTTACTTAAGGCTCAAAATTTATTATACTACTTTCAAGCCTATATAAACATGATTAAAACATAGACCAACAAAAAAACTTCTTAAAGTCATCAGTACCTTGAGACATGGACATCATTGCCGAGCTTGGAGCAGCACCGGGAACACTGTTACCATAGTGACCGGGGTTGTCTGCCATTCTATTTTGCGAGTACTGTTGCTGTAAACGGTGCCGAACCATCTGCTGCTGTCGCTGTTTTTGGAGAAGCTGCATATTTGTATGCATCGACTGCTGCGGCATATAACCGCTGGTGCCCGGCTGTCGTGATCGCAGCATCGTTTGAATTGCCTGTTTTGATGAAGGGAATGAAGCTCCAAATCTTGGTCCCGGAGCTGAAAATGTATATTGTAAACAAAATAAGAGCAAATTGGTTTATAAATATTTTTTTAGTTTGATTTTCTAGAAAGTAATGAGCAATGAGTTAAAAGTGTTTTGCTCTCAAGGAAACATTGACTTGCCCCTGACTGGGTTTGAACCCATACTGTTAGTGATCATTAGATTATTAGTCTTACATGTTAACCACTCGACCATTCCGCCACTTTGAAGAAGGGAAAATAGCAAATTAAAAAGTTTCAATGCAATGTTTTTCTTCTGCATGCAAAAAGTTATGTGTTGTCATCTGTTATGCAACCATGACAAAAAATTGTTAAACTGATCTGGTAACCCTTTACCTCCTAAATTTCTTAAATGGACTTGTTCACCCTTCTATTCGGGACTATCCATTATCAATTTTGGGGATATCAAGATGAAAAATTAAAACTAGTCAGCCAACAGTATAGAGCCTGGTCAGAAGAAACACAATTTATGGACAATTTTGTCAACTCTCCCATCTTGAATGAAGAGGTCTCACAAAGAGCCTAACTATCTTGAATGAAGAGGTCTCACAAAGAGCATTACTAGACTGTGTATTTACCATCTAATTGAAATTTAATTTCATTTTACAATCATGAGGCATATTGCTTTAACACATTCCTTCACAAATATCACCTTTTGTGTTCCAGATCATTAATTAACTTACCCATTGGATAAAAAACACAGTCTAAAAGTTACACCTGTTACTGTGATATATTTATACATGCAGATAATGTTTCTGTGACCTATTTATAGATCAAGTAAAAATCTATTTATAGATAATGCTGCAGGGATCTATTTATAGATCATTAGAAATCTATTTATAGATAATGTTACCTGGCTGCATTGCTTGTTGGGGCATATAAGCAGGCTGTTGCTGGGTTTGTGGGGGTCCTCCATACCAGTTAGAGGCTGGGGCTTGTTGGGGGTAAATTGGATCTGAGTAACCAGGATTGTACCGTTGAGGCATCGAGGGCTGAAATTTGAAAACAGAAATGGTAATCAATAAAGTCATAATAAATGCAACAAGAACAGTGCTTGATAGTAAAGCCTGGATAATGTAGAATTTTCTAAGTTCAAAAAAGGCAATAATTCTGTCAAAATTCCATGTTAGAAATATGGGCCTTGAAAAGTGATTTCCTATAATGCTCTCAAATAAGTGTGTGAAGTTTTAACCCATTCCCTTCAGTAGTTTTGGAGATACCAACTTGAACGCAAAAAACCCGGGACCCTCCAAATATCGTTTCGCAGCTCTACCGACTGAGCTGTCCGGCAGCTTACACATCTTCTCCTTTAAATAGTCTAATTAGTGAAAAGTTCTGAACCGTGACATAAATAATTATACAAAATATGAACCACATAACTTACAGGTGTGTATGATGATGAAGAGTTTGTGACTCGAGACCCTCGTCTCTTTCTTGTTCGGTTTGGTCGATTAGAATCAACAGATGTTGCCGTCTTCACTGGTTCCCTGCTCTGTTTCTCTTCCTGTTGCTAAAAATAGACAGAATTCAACGTGGAAATCAGGTTCCAGTGATTCCCCCCACCCCATCCCTATAATTTAGTCGATTTACCAAAGTAAATGTGTGTCAGTTAATTTGAAATACTGCAATCCTATTGGACAAAATATAATTTCAAACACTAAGTAACTTTTGAATAATATAGTATGAAACAATTGAAATACAAGTTTATATTAGCAATGCTCTAATCCTATGATAAATTTCCAACTTACAACTTTCTCTGGGGGAGGTTCTAACTCCTCAGGGGGTAGAGCTGGTGGGTCAAGGTAATAGTTGGCGGGTTTCTGTAGACAGTGGGAATGATACAACAATAATCTGAAAAATAAACATTTCACCTATTATATACAAGACAGATGTCAACTAAGTGCAATAACTGATTAACTCCTTTTAAATTTAGTAGAACTTATTCTGTTACTTCACTAAAATGACAGAGTATATTTGATAACACTTTTATTGTATAAAACTGAATAAAGTAACCTGTAAACAAAGAACACTTGTCTATACAGACTATGTTTTGTCCTTTGATTTGTATTTCTTCACAGGTTTGACTGTGTCGTCTTTCCACTATTCAGTATTGTTTTCTCATTCATCCTTGCTAGAGCACCAATTAGTTAATAATTTTCTCTCGATTCCATAAAAAGAAGTTTTCACACTAAATTCATTAATTGTGCCGCGTCGCGACAAAACCAACATAGTGCGTTTGCGACCAGCATGGATCCAGACCAGCCTGCGCATCCACGCAGTCTGATCGGGATCCATGCTGTTTGCTACCAGTATCTCTACTTGTAATAGAGTTGGTAAACGAACAGCATGGATCCCGATCAGACTGCGCAAATGCGCAGGCTGGTCTGGATCCATTCTAGTCGCAAACACATTACGTTGGTTTTGTTGTGACGCGGCTCAATTATTTTGGCATCACAACAAAAACACGATAAGAGCTTACCGTTTGACAGCATGCTCGACTAATGTATTGGCTTGATAGTAAAACAGGAACCCGGATATTGTAAAATGTTGTAAGCTTAAACAAGAGCTGTCGGTAGGACAGCATGCTCGACTATTCTTAGTGCTTGATAGTAAAAAAAATGCCTGATACAGTTACCTCCTCCTGTTTACAGGTTGGGGTCATGATGGTGAACAAGTGTGCAAAGTTTCAAAGCCATATGTCAATGGACTTTGAAAATATTTGAACTATTACAAAAACTTTAACGTAAATTCTAAGTCGAAAAAGGGGCATAATTCTGTCAAAATGCTTGATAGAGTTACCTCCTCCTGTTTACAGGTTGGGGTCATGATGGTGAACAAGTGTGCAAAGTTTCAAAGCCATATGTCAATGGACTTTGAAAATATTTGAACTATTACAAAAACTTTAACGTAAATTCTAAGTCGAAAAAGGAGCATAATTCTGTCAAAATGCTTGATAGAGTTACCTCCTCCTGTTTACAGGTTGGGGTCATGATGTTGAACAAGTATGCAAAGTTTCAAAGCCATATGTCAATGGACTTTGAAAATATTTGAACTGTTACAAAAACTTAAACGTAAATTCTAAGTCGAAAAAGGGGCATAATTCTGTCAAAATACTTGATAGAGTTACCTCCTCCTGTCTACAGGTTGGGGTCATGATGGTGAACAAGTGTGCAAAGTTTCAAAGCCATATGTCAATGGACTTTGAAAATATTTGAACTATTACAAAAACTTTAACATAAATTCTAAGTCGAAAAAGGGGCATAATTCTGTCAAAATGCTTGATAGAGTTACCTCCTCCTGTCTACAGGTTGGGGTCATGATGGTGAACAAGTGTGCAAAGTTTCAAAGCCATATGTCAATGGACTTTGAAAATATTTGAACTATTACAAAAACTTTAACATAAGTGGTTACGCCGACGCCGATGCTCGGGTGACTGCAATAGCTCTACTTATTCTTATCGAATAGTCGAGCTAAAAATGGTCATAATTCTGTTAAAATCCAAGTCCAGAGTTATGAGCCTTTGGCAGTGAACTCATATTAGACTCTCAAATAAGTGTGTGAAGTTTCAACCTATTCCCTTCTGTAGTTTTTAAAGTACAAACTTGCATCCCCCAAAAAATAAACCTGAATGAGTACATTAGCTTTCCATATTCTTTGAATAGTCAAGCTAAAAATGTTTTTTTTTTTTTAGTCGGTGGGCGGGATGGCAAGCTGAAGTTAAGGGGAAGTAGATGATGAAAAAAGTTTAGTTTTAAATTTTAACACATGGAAAGTATTTTTTATACCTGTGCTGTTCCTCATATTTCAAAGGTTTCTTCTCAATTTTCACCGCTCCAAAAAATGTCCACGACAATGGAGGTGGATTCTTTGTGCTCTCAATCACATCCCATGGACTCACCATCTCTATTTTACCCACCTGTAAACCCTGTAATATATATAAATATTTATATTCATATTACTGCAAGTTTGTAACATCACTTTTCATTGGATAATATTTAAAATATTGAATGTCTGTAACATCGCTTTTCATTGGATAATTCAGACGTTAATCTTTCAGTCTAAACAAAACCATTCATCAGTTTTAGAAAAAATTTCGAAATCTGTACTGATTAAATAGCGTACAGTGCAGACCATGATCAGACAGCATGGTAGAATCGGTGCCTAAGAATCGTACGTCTGTGTTATATGAGAAACATTACGTTGAACTGTTACTATAAATAGTTATATTAAGATGAAAACTCATCACTTCAACGTTTTCTTTATGTATGCCTTAATTATAATGATACAATACTTTTAAACTATTTAATAATTTTTTGTTTGCTTGGTTTTAGGGCGCACCAACATAGTATAGGTTATATGACGCTGAAACATTAGACGATTTTGGCTAACCTCAGGTGTTACAAACTTAAAGCAACACCAGGAGTCTAAACCACCTCATCTTCTGGCTTTACGAGATACATAGTTTTAGACACCAGTAATTCAAACTCATTCAGTCAACTTTTACGATCATGCAGGGTTAAATTCTGATGCCTCAATCGTAAAAGCAACACCACCACAAAGGGCAAAACTATTCAATAAGAATATTTTCAACCATCATTATCATCGATTTATAGCAAATAAATTCAAACGAAAATGGAATTTGAAGCTATAATACAATATATAACAATTATACCTGTTTACGTTTAATGGAATCAAAGCCGGTAATCTTGTTGCCTTTAGTATCCACCAAAGTTCCATGAGGCTCCACAGTGACAACTTCATAATAACGTTTAGGCAAGGGAAGTAACTGTCTAACCTGGTCTGTAGCCTCAAATATCTTATCTCCTAGATCTTTCTGTATGTAATATAAATGTGAAACTTACATCAAAAATAATTTGTCTACCATTCTATACGAATAATATTTATGTAACAGTATAATCTACACAGATATTGGCACAAGTTAGCCACTCAGCTGTAGACAGCAGATTTAAATACAACTTGACCAATGGCACCATTTTATATCTTAAATTTGAATGATGTTGAACAATATTTAAACAAGTAATTTGCACATTGGACACAGATGCCCCCACATTTCAATTGTTTTATCAGTCTACATACTTACAGTATGGCAGCATGACTGAATGACGCAGACAAATCTATTTGCCCCCAGCCCCTAAAACTTGTAGGAGTAAAACAAATACCAACAAAGAAATAAACTTACACTGGAATAAAACATATTTTGAGTTTTTCCCAGTTTATCCAAGGTTACAAACAAACTTTTACAGTTACAGCTTCGAAAATAGTGCTACAGGTTGTCAAATTAATTGTGAACGGTATTTAATGCACCATGAAGCTTTCACAGTAAATTTTTGTTTGTACCGGGTGTTTACCTTAGAAAAGTCCCAGATTTGCCAAGTTCAGGATTACAACTATTGTAAAACTACCCTGATCAATAGCAGTAAAATAGCATACATGTTATCAGTCTAGCGGGGAATAAAAATCCCAACAACTTACCCTTAACTTTTTCACAAGGTTACTATGAGTTTTCCTGTTGTCATCAGATTTCTCACTTGGGTCAGGTACCAATGTTCCCAGCATTAAACAATTCAACATGTCTAACACAGTCGCAAATAATTCACTGTAATCAGAGAATAAAAATGTATATTGACATATTTATCTTAATTATTTGCATTTTCTTCTTCATTTTCTTTTAGATTTAAACATATACTATGCTCATCCTTGAGTTAAAAATATCACAGAAATTTATTGAAATCTATAAAAATTCTCAATGAATTTATTGAAATCTATAAAAATCAATGAATACAAGAATGAATAAACTATGTATGGGAAGCTTCGTTCCCTATTTCCTGGATAACTAACTGATAATTTACAATTATCGCAAGTGATCAACTTTAATACCCACATAATATTTGAATCAGCAGATCCAAACAAAGCATTACCTTCGTACAGTAACAGGTCAACTCCTATTAAATCAAGTAGGAGTTAATGTGTTTTTGCACCAAGGTGATAAAATGACCATTAGTCTCAATCTCCTAGGTCAATTGTCAAGAAGAAATTAAACCTCAGCCTGAAGATTGAAAAAGTTACACCTGAATTACTTACACCTTAATTACTAACACATGAATTATTTACACCTTACTTACACCTGAATTACTTACACCTGAATTACTTACACCTGAATTATTTACACCTTACTTACACCTGAATTACTTACACCCGAATTACTAACGCCCAAATTACTAACACCCGAATTACTAACACCCGAATTACTAACACCTGAATTAATAACACATGAATTACTAGCACCTGAATTACTAACACCTAAATTACTAGTTCCATGCTCTTCCTATTGAGGAATGCATGCGGGCAACAAAAACATGAAGATTTAACTTACTAGTTAGAATGAAGGTCTACCACTCCACTACTTATTAACTGTAACAAAAGTAACGCCCAGTCTGTAGTCAGACCCGTGTTACGCTGTATGGTATCGAACATCCCGCCTACCAGAGATAACCGTAGTTGTAACGTCTCGTGAATATTGTTTCTAATTTTAGCTTCGTCCGGGTACTTTTCCTGAAAAACAATATAAGAAACAGGATAAGACAATGACTATTTTATGGCTTGTTCGGATATCCGGATGACATAACTACTATAAACCCTCTCCCTTAAATAACTTGGAGCATAAAATTTGATGTCAGAAGATAAAATGCTGTCCTTACTGCTAAAAATTATGGTTATTTTTTCTTTTTTTTTCTTTTTTTTTAATGGTGAAATTAAAGGGGCTCCACTCTTTCAAATTGGGCTAAGAATCGCACAATAAATCAATTTGAAATTTAATAATTTTAAGAATATTTCTTTACTATCCTTTAAAAAAAATGTTTCAATTATAAATGCTTCACTTGATCTATGTAAGAATTTCAAATTTTATGTTTTTAAATTTTTTTGACCTCAGCCAAACTCCTTTAAAAAGAAACTCTGTTTATCCTGAAATAACATTCACTTGGTAATACTAACCAGCATCTCTCTGAAACTGGTGATGAATTTCTCGAGTTGGTTGAGTAAAGAATTGAGCAGACCTTCCCGCTGTTCATCCTGGCCCTTTAAACATGTTAATATCAAAGACAGGAATGGCTGATGACTCAACAAAGATTTACTGAAATATACATAATTCACAAATTATTATTTTTTTTTATGTTATCACTTATGTTCCTTCAAGAAATCTAACACTAACTTTTTTCTGTTGGGTGCATGAACACTGTAAAGGTCATAAGGTGATTTGTCAGCTTTACTGGTGGAAGAAGACCTCAGGTGCCCCTCCATGCATTATTTCAGGCATGAACAGGCACCTGAAAAGAACCACTAAAGTTCTGTTAAATTAACTGCAGAGCTTCCTCACATGAAAGAATCCAAAGTCCCTATCAGGATTCAAACCCACAGCAGTGAGGGGCAAGTGGCTTGAAGTCAACCACCATTACCATTTAGCCACAGACGCCTACTTACACTAGCTACTGCTCATTGAGTTGAATTGAGTATATTTTATGAGTGTAGGTTCAATACTGAATGTATTAAACAAATTAAACAAAATTATAGTAGGTGAGCCTCTTGCGGGCATAAAATTATTTTATTTAATGAGTTCAATAAATTTAACAATGATGCTACATGAACATAATTATATTTATTCATTTACAGTAAAAAGAATCACTTTTTCATTTACGCAGTTATAGTGTAATGCTAATATTTAGCACGTTTTAATGCTACTTGGCAGGCTAACTTTTAGATACGAGAAAAATGCATATACTTTGCCAGACTCAACTTTAAATGGTATTAATTTTTTTCAGTTTAGAACAACATGGGAGAAATATTCACTTTTTCCTCTTCAAGTCAAGTTTACTTTTCGGTGCCAAGAAAACGCATATAGTAAAACTTTACCAGACTCAACTTAATTCAATCTAGAATAATATGTCGAAAATATTCACTTTTTTCTCTCCTTGTCAAGTTTACTTTTCGGTGCGAGGAACGTGTTGCTGTTCTCTAGCACCTGACCAGCTTGTCGGAGTACTCTCCCCTGAACGCCACTGGGTAATTTAGAGATGAGTGGCGCCACCAGCCATACGCTGTTATCTTTCTCCGTCGAATCATTCCTAGAAAATTCAACATGTACATTTAACTGCAAAGAGTTAAAAAAAATTGTAAAAAGGAGCAAGCCTTCAGATTCATGCTGATTTTCATGACATTTTTTTTTTATTTATTAAAAGTAAAACACTGCAATGAAAACTTAAAATCTAACATTATTACAGAAAATAGATTAGAATATGAAAAAATAGCGCCCTTTCTGCATTAGTCATGCAGTAGAAATATAATGATTAATACTGCAATATAAGTCATTAATTGCATATAACATGTAAATTATTTCTTGAATTGTGAATATTTTTACTTTTCCTAAAATCTAAATCTGAGTACAAATTTTTTAAGATTTAATTTCTTGAAACATATTGGCTCATTTGGAGGCATGCAGAATTAAAGTGACTCCATCGTAGGTCCAGACCAAGAACTTGTGTGCAACATTTCAGATCATTCACTCACTCTGTTATTCCAGAAAAAAATATTTTAACTGTGACCCAAAAGTTAAAAGGCGTTGCAATGCTCTTGACTCAACAGTGATTTTCCCCTGTATTTTACAGTAGATTAAAGGCTGTTTTCCCCTAGCCCAAAATAGGTATATTTTCCCCTAAAAATGCTTACATTTTCCCCTAAAACCCCTGTGCACATTCTTCACCAGAACGATGACTTAAGATCAGCTGACTTATATCAGCTAAAAGACAGAAAGCTGTCCCTATAGATAGCCTCTGCTAGTCTCATGCATGTTTAATTGAACTTAAAATTGAAATTTTAAATGTATGGGTAAATTCCATTCTCGGTGGTTGGAATTTGATTTTCCCCTTTTCTGATTTATCACGCTATATTTTCCCCTTCAGAAAGCCACAGGTTGGTTTGAAAATTAAAAAAAAACCTCACTGCTCAAGTCAGAATATGAATAACACAAAATTGTAGTTTTCAATTTATTTCAAAGTATATTTCTTAATTATCTTTTACATAAGTTACAAAGGTTTGCTATACAAAAGTTACACAGTAAACATGTACACAAGGATTGAACTTACTTTGGTGACTGTACAGGCATGGTCTCTAACAAGGCAGCCGCCTGGGAGTTATTGGTTGTGCGACTGTGATGTTCTGTTTGTTGATGAAACAAATAAATTGTTCCTTGTGATATATTGTCCAGTATATTGTTCGTCTCCTGTAAGATAAAGTAGTACAAATTATTAGTTATAAAGATTTTTGACAGGTTATATGGCCCTATATGAACAGTTGTATGGATACATATATTGCAAACAAACCTTTCTATGGAGCCTTATAAAACACATTACTGTATGTTTAATGCACCTTTTTTGTCTCAGTTGTTGAATATCTAACATGCTCTTAAGCCATTATTTCAACATAATCAAACATATGTTTTTGAGGCATAATGGGCCTTTAATAGTTATATTATGGAAATAAAAACTTACTGCATTGTTTTTGGCTTGTTTAAACATGAGATTCAGTTCGAGAAGAGATACTCTGAGTGTCCAAGGGTCGAGAGTTTCTAATATTCTACTAATAGTCTCCTTGTTGTCTATTTCGTCATCGTCCATCTTGCTGGCGGCACTAGACGGGTAACATATCATTCTTACCAACTGCTGAGTCTGGGAAACAATTAAAACATAAATAGACATATAAGAATATAATGCTCAATAAAATATATACAATACCTATATATTCAAAATTTATCTATGTATACAAATTGACACATAAATATTTAATTAACAAATCAGATTTAGATTTTTTGTAAAGATTTCAATGGTCTATCATATCTCAAAGATATTATTAATAGTAAAATAGCCAACACTATAGAGTACAGACATGCAGGATGGCCAAGTTCTACACAGGCAGTACTTGCCATCATCATCAAGGCACCTTGCTTTAAGATAGAATAACATACAGGTAAGTTTAAGATAACCCACACTAATGAGCAATATAGGAGTGTTGCCATATTTGTCATTGTCTCAGGTCACGAAAATATTCTAATATGTTTAATAAAAACTATCGAAAAAGACGTCACTTGCTGTGGGTCTGTTATTAACCAATATGAGTTGATATTTGGAAGTTACTTTAAAACAGTTGCTGCTCCCCATTATGAGATTATCCCCCAAACATGTCAATTTTGCATGCACACTCATTTACTTGCCTTTATGGCAAAATAGAACCAAATGGCAATGTGGTGGAAATTTCCTAATGACCTAGATTTTGCTGAAATGGCCTTGGACGACAATAAATTTTGTTACTATATATATCAACATCTGCATTAATTACAGATTTATAAGGGTTTGTAAGCCTTATTTCTCATAATAGAAAAATAAATTAGTGGCAGCGTGGCCGAGTGGTTACCGCATCTGACTAGTAATCTAAAGATTGCTGACCCAGTGTTAAAATCCCTTCAGGGGCAGGCCGTTGTTTCCTTAAGCAAGAAACTTTACATTCATTGCTTAGTACTGGTTTGTAACATACAGGAACGGATTCGAAAATGTTTCAATAACCTTATAGCTTTCAACACAATCAAACTGAAATAAATTTGTATAAACAAAATAATTTACCTGTTCCGAACTAAGCATTGTATCTAGCAACATCTCTGAGTTAAACAGACCCTCGGGATCTCGTAAGAATTTCTCTCGCACCCAGTCCTGACTACACATCTCTCGTAAAGAATGTTTCGAGAATTCACTTAGTCCGGCATTCTCCATGCTCCCCGATGTACTGTAATAATTTGAACATTACGATTTTGTAATCATAAATCATCTGTTACGTTCATGGACAGGCTCAATCAAACTGAGCCAGCAAAGCTTTGTACAAATTGTACAGGTAATATTGCTGTCTTGGACATTCTTTTAAGCATTTTCTGTTTTTCTTTTGCATACAAAGTTCATGGGGTAAACATGATAATGGTACATTTTTATTTTCTTGAATTATATAATAATTGAGCCATGCCATGACAAAAACAACATAGTGCATTTGCAACCAGCATGGATTCAGACCAAGATGCGTGGATGCGCAGTCTGATCAGGATCCATGCTGTTTGCTATCAGTTTCTCTACTTTTATTTCATGCTTTCCAGTGTTTTATTGTAATATATCAGATGATTATATTCTGATAAACCACTAGTGAAATTTATAAAATATAATTTTCACTGTAGCCGGACTATATCTGAATGCGGATGAAAAGAAAATCATAACTAAATGGAATAACAGGCAGAAATAAATGCCGTCATACGTAAATTATGCTTCTTTAGGAAAAGAAAGCCGATGTTACCATACATCATGTTTAAAATGTAACAAAATTTGAGAAATCTAACAGAACTATATTTCAAAATTGATTATGTGACGTCATGATGTTATGACGTCACAAAGGAGAATGCGCGACGTTACGCGGCAAAATCAGTAAAAAATACTTAAAATCACTTAAAAGCATGAAATAAAAAGAAAATTTATTTGTTTTACATATAGGATTGAAATATATTTCATTCGTGAACACCAGCTATTATATTTTCACTCGTGGCTACGCCACTCGTGAAAATATTGCATCTGGTGTTCACTCAGTGAAATTATATTTCAATCTTACATGCAAAACAAACAAATATCCTCTATGTAATAGGGTTTGTAAGCGAACAGCATGGATCCTGATCAGGCTGCGCGGATGCAAATGTTGTTTTTGTCATGGCACGGCTCTTATCTTTTTGTCATCTCAGTTAGTTTCATTTCCATTTCACAATAGCTATTACAATCATACAGTCTTCTTTCCCTTTCTCCACATTGTTAAAGATTTACAACAGCTGTTGGTAAGACAGCTTGGTGGACAACTTCCTCTTTAAATTTACACGACCATCATGAATTAATGTTTATATCACTTCCATCATTAATGTAACATTGATATCATTTCCACTTTAAACTTACCCGAGCATCAAGAATTAATGCTGACATCACTTCCATAAGTCATTAATAATGCAACATTGATTTCATTTCCATGTACATTAGCATCATGAATTGATGTTGACATCACTTTCATAACTCATTAGTAATGCAACATAGATATCATTTCCACTTTAAACTTACCCGACCACCATGACAATGCATGAAGTAATATTGATATCACTTCCATAACTCATCAACAATGGAACATTTATATCATTTCTATTTTAGTTATGTAACATTAATATCACTTCCATAAGTCATCAACAATGGAACATTGCTATCATTTACATAACTCATTAGTAATATATAACATTGATATCATTTCCACTTTAGCTTACCCAAGCATCATATCCATGCTGATATCAACATCTAAACTACTCAATATCGTACTTATGATATCATCTCCTCCTTTACTGTCCTTCTTACTCGACGTCTTTGTTTTCACCTCATCCCTACACGAGTCAGCTGTAACAAAAAATCGCCAATTTTATTTATTTCCCTTTTGTATTTTTTGTTTCTTCATTTTAACCCTTACAAAAGTAATCATTTATTATGAATTTTTTCTGGCAAACAAAGCTGTACTGTAAAACAAATTTCTTTAAGGAACTCCCATGTCCCATCATTAAGGTCTAATAGCCTAAAATCATGAAATTTTAAAGATTTTCATAAATCAATTCACTCAGGTGCACTGACAATCAAAAACTATGCACTAGATAACATACAGATATACTCGGTCAACTTTTTTATGCAATTTTTGGGACAATTTGAGTGAAAAGCGTAGCAATTTGCACAAATAAAAACTAATCATGTGGCAAATGATGATAACCTAATATGAACTTGTTGGCAATCAAGTTTAAATAAATATATTTAAATTAAAGGTTAAGCAGAATGATGAAAGGAAATAAACATCTTGCAGGGGACAAACAAAACTTCCATAAACATTAGCAAACCAAAAATATGACAACTTTAAGGAAAACAATAATTTGCAGGGCATAATGGGCCTTTAAGAAAAACAAAAAAACAATACCTAAAGCTAACATGGCTTTTAAGACTGCCAGGACGGCCCCCACATCTATGTTATTATGAACAGCCGCTAGCAAATGTCGGTCCGACGATGCTTTAACATATGTCCCTCTCTTATTACCACCTGGGTAAGGATTGTTGCTGGCGTGAGACACTTTAAAGAGACGTAGTAATAAGTGACACGTTAGTCTGGCGCCCGGCTCAGCATCCTGGTCCCCTCCAGCTGAAATCATTAACATACAAATTTATAATTGAGCTGCGTCATGACAAAACCAATATAATGCGTTTGCGACCAGCATGGATCCAGACCAGCCTGTGCATCCACGCAGTCTGATCAGGATCCATGCTGTTCGCTATCAGTTCAGTACTTGTAATAGGGTTTGTAAGCAAAGGCTGCATACGCATTATGTTGGTTTTATCGTGATGCGGCTCATATATAGATCTATCATTTGGTAGGGTTTTACGTCACCCCAGTATAGTATAGGTCATTTCGCAATTTTCAGGCTTTATTGGTGGAGGAATACCTTAGTTGCCTCCTCCAAGCATTCTTTCAGGCATGCCTCCTCCAAGCATTATTTCAGGCATAAACGTGTACCTGTGTAGAACCAACAATGTTCTGTAAGCTCATACGAATCAAAGTCCCTGGTGGGGTTGAGTCAACCTACACCAGTGAGGGGCAAGCAGTTTGAAGTCAACAACATTAACCACTTCTGCCATGGTTGCCCAAATTTAGGAAAGGTTACATAGTTGTGAGTAATTAGTCATTTGCTCCATATAAAGTATTAACATCAACAGAAAATAAATAGAGGATATTGAAAGAGGGTAGACGCAATACTCAATTTAATGAGTGAGTTGAATAAAGTTATTCAATGCAATCTCTTTTTCATTGACATGCCATAGTGTTGAGTTAACATTTAATGCACTTTTACATTATGCCTGTACAATGCAAATGAAGTCACAGCAAAATATATGCACTGCTGTGTAATACCATTTTTAAAGAAGTCATAAAAACTGTATAGGTATGTCATAAAAACCCCTACCTTGTAACACAAGTAAATTCTCACCTTGAAAACCCCAAAGCACCAATAAAGCACTAAAGCACCAATAAAGCACTAAAGCACCAATAAGGCACTAAAGGTGTGTGCTGAGTAAGCATTATCGGGGCCAGGGCCATAGGTCATATGTATCAATATTCAAAAATACAAAAAAATTTATACCACAAAATATGGAAAGGAATACTCACCAAATGCAGGATTGACTAGAGATGGTAAAGCCACATATCCTATAAAATCTTGTAGAGAGAAACAATGTCTAGCAATCAATATGGAAGTGAACACGGCCAGATTGTCATGGAACGATAAGTCGCTAACCTAAAATAACAAGAGAAAAAATAAACATTTTATATAGATAAATTTTGTTTTGATTTTTTTTCTGCCATTCCTTTCTCATGAAATATTGAAATAAAAAAGAACAAAATGAATGTATTCAAACTTAAATTTGAACTTTTTATTAGTTTACAGTTATCTATTTTTGGAAGCTATAAACTTATTGAAACACTCTCGAATCTGTCACTAGAACCAACCAGTGCTAAGCACGCAATGAAAGTGAAGTTTCTGGCTCAATGAAACAGCAACTTGCCTCTGACAGGGTTTGAACCCAGGCGACCAGCAATCCTTAGATTTCTACTCAAAGGCATTAAACTACTTGCAACTTAACTTTTTATTCACATAGAGAGTTCATTCTTAACCTTTTACTCCATGAGCATATTGTGAAAAATGGCCCTTTTCATTGAAAAGCCTCCTGTAACAAGTTCAAACTGCTATGAAACTATGAAAAATGCTTCAATAATGATGAAACTTGGCACAAATGTTGACTACACCATAGCCTCTGTAACAGCATGCTCAATCGTAAATTTCCTGTTACCATGGCAACAGGGGGACGTCTCAAAATTGCCAAATATCACTATTATGCATTGTTTTTTTCCATCAAAACTGATTTCAAAGTGCTGCAACTTTTCAATGAATTGAGATAGAGTAAAAGGCTTTTCAGCGTCGGTTAATAGTTACCCTAAGATCAACCTGAGGCCATTTTTAGCCTGTCACATGTCCAAACTTTTCTTGGCGATGAGGGGGACTCCGCCCCCTTCAAACCCCCCCAAACAGAAGGGGTCATATCCCCCTTCTGGCAACCCCCTGATGTAACATTTGGAAGGGGGTCGGCGCCGAAAAAGTGGTCACTTTTTTTGGTAACATTTCTCAAACGAAAACCAGTGTTTGGGGCCTAAATAGGCCATTTTTTCACTGTTTTTAATGATTTTACAGTGTGATTAATTATTTTTCAATTAGTAATATTTAGATTTTTTTCTACAAAATGAGCGAGTAAGTGTGTGTGTGTGAGAGTGAACACGTAAATTAGATGATAAGGAAGGAATATATAGTTGAACAATAGCCTGTTTCAATCTGCAATATTAGTGTCAATAAATTTCCATTTTCACATATACTTTGAGAAAAACCACATTTCAAGAATGTTGATATACATTCTGTACTCAAGTTTTTGATTGAGTTAAAAGTACAAAAGTATTAGGAAAACTTGATATCTGGGATTCCGGATCTGACCAGAAAAATATGCATCTTAACATGAAACAGGGGAGAAAATAAGAATGGCAAGTACAGGGGGGGAATAAGAATGGCAAGTACAGGGGAGGGAATAAGAATGGCAAAATCGTTGTTGTCAAATAAATGCATACTGCGATCTGCCCTTCAATGTTTATATAGAAAAATAAATCTCTAAGTTATATATCTGCTGCAAAAATTATTTTTCGAATTTTTAACAAAAATACGTCCGAAATGCTTGTATGTAACAAATATTTTATTATATTGCTTCAACAGTGAATGGCACATGCACAAAATAATTGCTAAACAGTTTCACTTCTTCAAATGGCAACTAAATATTTTGTTCCGGAATAATAATACCGAAGATAAAATTACTGAAATATTTAGTTTAAAACAACACAGACTTGTTTTTTTCCAACAGAAAATAAAAACTGAAGGCCACTTTAATGATATTAGTATTTAAGAAAATACCATAAGACATAATAGCAATAGACATTTATTTTCAAAATTTACAAGTACATGTACTATATCAAGTCTACTAATTTAACCGACAACGGATTTTAAAAAAACCAATTAAGATCGATGATTCAAACACTTCACTCCCAAGTATATCAAATTTCAATATTTCCTCATAATGATCTGTCTACCACAAAATGAACTTTGTTCTCAGGTACGCACTTCTCTTTTCTCCAAGGAAGTCTATTTTTAGTAAATATTCTTCCTCGTATAATTATTCTGGCTGTTAAATGGACTTTATTCCATGATATAACAAGAATAAACGCTAGTGCTTCTGATAATATAAAAAAAATGGTAAGTTAATTTTATATTTATTGAAGTCACGTTATGCTGATTTTTAACTTGAATTAAATTAGTATTCAAATTTATTTCAAAAATTTAACTATTTTAACTATGTATTGTCATAGCAATTGACAAATAATTGATAAGAGCCGCGTCATGACAAAACCAACATAGTGCGTTAGCGACCAGCATGGATCCAGACCAGCCTGCGCATCTGCGCAGTCTGATCAGGGTCCATGTTGTTCGCTATCAGTTTCCCTACTTGTTATAGGGTTTGTAAGCGAACAGCATGAATCCTGATAAGACTGAGCGAATGCGCAGGCTGGTCATGATCCATGCAGGTCGCAAGCCCATTATGTTGGTTTTGTCATGACGGGGCTCAAATGTTTATGATACAATGTACAAATATAAAATTGACCAGAATTATGAAAGAAATGGCTGCCAGACTTCTTTTTAGGAAGTGAACGTTACTGATATATTTTGAACGACATTCATAGGGATTTCCTTTGGTTACGTGGATTATTGATAACTTTTTGATAGTCAAATATAACATTGAACAAAATTGTACACAATTAAGGCAAAATGTCTAACTATTTTGATTCTTACCTGACACTTAGATACGCATAATGTCACATTAATATTAAACTTATAAAATGAAATATTGAGAAATATTGATGAAATGAAATGCACATTTTCTTTTCAGCATTTTCACTGTAAAAAATTATTGTTCAATTATTGTAAAAATATCTTATATGTCACAATGATGTATGTTTATAAATTGCTCACTATAACATATTATAGCATTTGACTTGATTATATTTCCAGGTAAACAATGTTTGTGCCTGGTAGAACAGCATCTCAAAAAAAAAAACCAATGCTGCCCCATGTATATGCTAAAGATAACTATACTTTGTTCTGCCAGCCATGTGACCAAGAAAATATTCCTGTCCGAAAACCGGCCTTTGGATACTGTGTGGACTGTAACGAGTATTTATGCCAGTCTTGTTATACCTTTCACAGAAGACCCAAACCATCACGGCATCATCAACTTCTTGACGAAAAGCACATGCCACAACAACAACAACAAGGTCGTCCTACGTCATCAAATTCCTCTACTGCCGGACAGGGCCAGGACTCTCTAACAAAACCATGCTCTAAACACACTAAAGAACTGATCAAATTTTATTGCCATGACCATAATGCACTTATTTGCAGTGTATGTAAGACACTTGAACATACAGTAAAATCCTGCCATGTGGACTACATACCCGATATATCAGTCAAGTCTTTAAACAGCACCGAGTTCAACGAAACACTGAACGACCTGGACAGAGTGGCCGACAAATGCAACACAATTACAAAAGATCGAATGCAAAGAGCTGAATCAACTGACCTTACTGCAGAGATAGAAAGCTTTAGACATGATATAAACAAAAGATTAGATGAACTAGAAGAGGAAGCAAAATATATTGCAGCAGCAATCCAAGAAGCCAACAACAAAAAGGTGAAAACAATAGAAAAAACATGCGGGGATATCAATAAATCTCTTCAAGCACGTGCCAATACCCTAAAACATCTTAATACTACAGAGAAAGCTGACCAATTGTTTACAGAGCTAAAACTGGCTCAGCAACTGATTTCAGAGAGTGAAGTATTAACATCGCAGCTACAATCAGCTGAAGATCTTGATGAATATGTCTTTGAACCTAATCAAGCTATACAAGCAATCCTTCAAAAAGAGGCATCATTAGGACTTTTGAAACCTATAAATCCAGTACAGTCAGTCAACCAAACAAATCAAGCTCCGGAGGCAATCCTTCACAAAGAGCCATCATTAGGACTTTTGGAACATAAAAATCCTACACAGTCAGTCAGCCCAGAACATAAAACTTGGGAAGCAATAAAATTATCAACGCCTAGAAACATCGATATCACAACATCCTTGGAAAAACGGGACTGCTTCATAACTGGCATAGCTGTTTCTCCTCAAAACCAAATATTTTTAGCAGACTATAACAACCAATTCATTAAAATGATTGACAACGAAAGTGGAGAAATCACTCATACTAAACTTATAGCAAGCCCCTGGGATATAACAATCATCAGCAGAGATATGCTTGCTGTAACTTTACCAAACATGGAAATTATTCAGTTCGTCTGCTTCGCCTCTAAGAAACTCTCGCTGAAAACCCGATGGAAAGTAGATGGACTCTGCTTCGGAATTAGTCATCATCAGGAAAAACTTGCGTTAACATTTACATCACCAGCCAAACTCCTTATTATGGACTTCAAAGGTACCGTCCAAGGTGAAGCTATCAAAGATTCCAGTGGCGGTGATATTTTTAGCTCTCCTAAACATACCATCGCAAACAGCCAATCAATTTTTGTAACTGACTGTATTAAGAATGCAGTTATATGGTTTAACTGGCAAGGTGAAATGATCGGCACTTATGATGGGCTTGAAGAGCCAAGTGGTATAACAATGTTAGAAGATGGATCCTTAGTAGTGAGCGAATATAACGGAAATCGCATATTGAGAGTAAGTGGTGACCTCATAGATGGTGAAACTATACTCGAGGATATAGTCAATCCTCATGCTGTATGTTGGTGTTCTGAAACCAGGATGCTTTATGTAAGTAGGTACAGGACTGGAAGTAAAGACAAGAACAATCATATTCTATTGTATGAAACAATAGAGAATACTTGACTCATGAGACAGGTCGTGACAATTGAAGCAGTTGCGATAAAAAAAAGTGACTACTTAATGGTGTGGTTCAATAACATGTTAACCACACAAGCACTCTAGAGTTCAATGACAATGACAAATTAATTGCAACAGTGTTACTGTACAAAAGACTTTTTAAGTTTTTCTAAGCCAGATAATATATAATCGGAAAAAAATGAAGGCGCATATAAAAACACAGAAATGCTAAAAAAAAAAACACACAAGAGGGCGCTGGATCGCTCACCTGACAAACTCAGAAATAATGTTACCTTCTTAAAGCCATTTTGTAAAAAACAGCTCTGATCAATTGTCCATGCTGTTCGCTATCAGTTTCTCTATTCGTAATAAAGTTTGTTAGCGAACAGCATGGATCCTGATCAGACTGCGCGGATAAAAGTAAAAGTGAGTACAGTGTTAAAGAATTGTATAATTGTGAAATGTAATTGAATATTTGATTGTTGAAAAGATTATTAAACAATTAGCGCCTATAAAACTATTTAAATATTGTCAGAATATTATTGTACATGTACAATTTTCTTTGTTTCCGACATCTTTTTTTAACCAGACAGGAAGTAAGAACAGAGTTATCTTTCATATTCCTAGTTGCTAAATGTAGCCACAAATTTTGTATATTCACACAAAATTTGCAGGTAGTCCATATTTTAAGTGTATGTTGAAACCATATTACTTTATGTGCTTTTTATTTCTTTCATAAAACTGTTTGCTATAAAGATAATTTTCATATTAAATAAAGGAAGGGCGATACTCTGGCCAAAACTTTTGGTTCCTCATACACCAAATTTCCTTATAACCGTGTTTGCTAGAAATGAAGTTCACTTAGATATTTACATTTATCTGTGTAAGGATATTAACATAACTAAAGGTATGATTGGACAATCAACATAATGCTTTAATTACACCCAGCCAATCAGATATTTGATTGTATTTGAGTGAGAACACCAATGTAACCACAGTTATGATTGGATAATATACATAATGCTTTAAGTACACCCGGCCAATCAGACACTTACATCTGTCTGTGTCAGGACATCAATGTAACCACAATTATGATTGGATAAGCAGCATAATGCTTTAAGTACACCCAGCCAATCAGATACTTACATCTATCTGTGTCAGGACATCAATGTAACCACAATTATGATTGGACGAGCAGCATAATGCTTTAAGAACACCCAGCCAATTAGATACTTACATCTATCTGTGTCAGGACATCAATGTAA